GAAAGTTTTCCGGTCTCCCCGTACTTTCATCGTCGATATATCGATCGATATATCGGAACCCGGAGCCTGTACACGCTCGATATCTGGGATATTCCCGGCGTGCGTGTTCAAGCGTTCCCTAATCGACGGTCCAGTCACGCGACGCTCGGACTTTGTTCCGTAGACTTTTACTATCGTGGTTAATTCGAAAAAAAAAGTGAAAGAAAAAGACGATCGAACCTCGTGGGATCGATAAGACGAATTCGAATCTCGATACTCGACCTTGCGTCCGAGTTCGATCACGCGCGTGTCGGTTGCACGCCGGTAGATACGGGATTGTTTTTATTTCGGGAAACTTTTAAGCATCGTCAGACCTCATTTGCTGAAATCGATTTATCGCGTGGTCCTTGTGGATAACGATAAATGAACATGGATAAATGAATAATTAAGGCACTGAAGTGTCCCCCTCTGATTTCGATGAAACATCGTATTTCTGTTAAGCAATCAAAAATAAGGGATACGTATTTTTTTTTTATCGGCTGAGACGCGACTTTAAGGGGTGAAACCATCTAGAGAATGAATAAACAACCACCGTAATGTAAAAAAAATCGATGTTACAAAACTTCGTGAATAGTCGTGAGCAGACATGTGCTCTGGTAAACTTGTAATGATACGGGTGCTTATTCCCTGAATCTTGATTATCCGGTCACGTGATCAGAAATTCACGTAACCGACAATCAGGAAGCACGGTTGCTCAAATAATCTGGCGGATTAGATACCGGTTGTGAGTTGTATATGTACTATGGAAAGAATAACGAACCTTGCCGAAATACCAAAATCCGCATTTAATCCTTGTTTATCATATGATCCTCATTTGAAGATTGTTGAAACTTCGGGTTTAAATAAATGAAGGCATGGATAAATAAACAAGTTCGTAACAATTTGATCGCACAGTTTTATAGAGGGAAAAAAGCCATTAAATGTTTATTTTTTTAAACGTAAAGTACCGGTATTATACAGGTATTCTCGGTTGTACCTTCGGCCTATATAACCTTATTTAAGCCCTATCCTTATAGAAACCGAAAAAATACCGGTATTTATTTCAGTTTTCGGTAATATATCGGTTTCGGTATAGCTTTAATGGCCGGTATCAAAATCATACCGGTTTAAGTCCCTGCAAAAAACTACGCGACGCTTCTATTAAGATCCCTAACAAACTTGCGATATCCCATTAATTATAGTAATTTTTTTTAGATACGCGTCCAATGCAGACAAACCAAGAAGTTTAGTACATACACAGTCAGATTCAGCCAGACAATAGTATGAAAACAAATACAGAAAGATTAAAAAATATGAATTCAAGGACATAAAAAATTAAATAATAATCGACAAATTATAATTAATTCGATAAAAAAATATTTCAAACGGAAGTTAGTATTCAGCTGACAACAAATTGCAATAGTAAATATCGATACAAAACTTTTTACTCGATAAAAAAATCAAGATCACGTCACTTTTTTCAAACGAAACTGTATACGTTTATATGACCCAATCGATGGATCTTTGTATTCTCTTTAAAAAAGTATTAAGGTACTTGGGTCGGAAATTGATTAGTTCAGAAGTTATGATTTTTCTCCCGAATCACCATATAGGTGCTCGAAGCACTTTGTCGGCGGGTCAACAGACTTTCGCTGGATATTTCGAGTATGTATAGGATATCGGGGGCATCCCCGACGTAGAGCGTCGACGTCCTGCCCCGGCGTCCCGGCGGCGAAACGAGCCTGCGCCTAGGAGGTCTTGTCCACGCGATCCACCCGGCAGTCGATAGGCCGCCTCGTTCGGGCATCGAGCAGCCACAATCCTCTTTCCCGGATGGCCCGACGGGTTTTCTGGGATATCCTGTTTCTTTGCGATTCTAAAACGACAATCCTCGATATTGGATCGGTTAACGCGGCTTTACCAGGTGTTGCCACACCAGAAACTTAACGTTAACACGTCGTCCCAGTCGTCCATGTTCCGTTCGGACGAATTGTCCTCGAAGTTTTAGGGGATGTGAGACGCTGCGTGGCCCTGGTCGATAAAGAATTATCTTTTGTTTCTCCTCCACCCCATTTGGTGATACACGGTGTGCCGTTTCGTTGCTCGAGATCGACCTGGCGCGGACGATGGAAGAAGATAGAGGTGTCTGGAAATTCGCAGGTTCATACGAGGACATTGTTTTCACCGCCCGTATCGATCTCGTAGCCGCCGGGATGTCCTGTTCCTATGGGACGCGGGACAGGTCGATCGGTTTTCGTTTCGCGACGCTCTCTCGGGACACGGATGGTGACCTAGAATGTAGGATCTCGACGTGTTTGTAGGTGAACCTTGCCGATTGATGGACAGGTACGATTAGCATTGCTATTGATTTGAAGCTGTGTCGTTGGCTCGACTTGGCATGTGTGTGTGTGAAGGCGGTTGTGGTGGTGGTCATGGGTGAACCGGCGCTATTAGCTCCGAGAGAAAGTTTCATCGGTTTTCTATTCTTGTTGTTGTTGTTTTTTTTTTAAATAATAGTACGTGGAGAAGTGGACAGTGGCCTGTTGCTGGAAGGTTGAATACGGTGAGAATACAGGCGTCTTAACAGAGCAACATTTCTCGTTGAGATAAAAATAATTGATTTCTAGATAGTAATATAATATATTAGCGAGTTGATTCGTAATTGAAATTTAAACGTACGCATTATTGCGAGATCCTCGTTTCTATAGGATACATTTTTCCAGTTAACGTGTTAACGACCCGGTTTCCGTCTTATTCCCCTTTGCTCCGTTTGATCTATCTGTTGTTTAGTTCGGGGCCTGAATGGACCTCGTTACATTTGATGTATTCGGTTCCATTCACCGAATTGAAGAACGCAACGTCGAGTCCAGTCGTAGGCTCATTCGTTCTGTTCTTTTGTGTATAATTTTTTACGTTGAATTTAGGTAGAATATATAAGTTTCGGATATTGGTGTTCTTGCGGTTTTTCTTCAAGTCAGGAGATTAAAGTTGCGAAAATCAAACAGTCGAAGTGCTCGTAACTGCTCTTTTCAGTTTTTTTTTTCTTTTTCAGGAGAGCACAAAAATACTCCAGCATCGTTAAGAATCATAACAATCGATCAATTTTCTTTTTAGAGTAAATCAGGGCCTAGGTCGTTTTTGGTAGTATAGGTTCCACCATGTTGCGAGTCTTGTTTCCGAGTATTACATAGTATCTGTCGTTGTCACATAAACCGAAACATTTGACAAGGGTCATTTTTGTTATGAGCCCCTCAATTGTGTCTCTGTCCCTCTGTATCATTGATTCACGTTATTTCGTATACTCTAGAATCAAATAAACTCCGATCGTATTGAATACGAGACATTTAATTTGATTCTTTGTCGCGAAATCGAGATACCGCATGCAATAAAAATAATAATCGTCATTTCATCTAATTCTATTTATTATTCGCTGTTTTTGGTCACATATCGAGGAATAAAATATATATTTAATTAACGATAAGAATTGAATAATTGAGGTCGCAGAGCATATTAAATGTTCGTTATCGTTTCGAGACTTATTCTCGGTCAAAGTTGCCGCTTAGATCACAGATTACAATCGTGATGGAAACTTTTCTGGTGAGAACAAGTTAACACGATAATGATATTGTCGAAAAAGGAGTACGATTACAATCCGGAATACAACATTAAAATATGGATCATAACTATAAAATACCGCTTACTTTCTCGTCAGTGTTGCAAACAAATATCGTGTTGGAACATTATACGATATGAAATAAAAATGGCATACAAGTGAAAGTGAATGAAGGATAGTAAATGACTATTTTTCTCTCCATTTCATTCGGTTCATAGATAATGTATATAAAACAAGACATTCTTAACTTTCCGTAGATATTCTAACTATTTTTTTTTTCGCTCTCTCGAATAATCGAAGTTATTTATTTAGATCAAAGCTTTACAGACACGTGCTTCAATTTCAAAGTGTTTCGATTTAGCAGCTGTGTTACGGTAAAAGTAGCGAAAACTCGTGGTAATTGAACACCAGGGTCACGGCGCTACGCCCGTCGTGTCACCATTGCTCACTGTCAGCATTTACACAATCCGATGTTTGGAATAATTTCCATACGTCTGTGTCTGTCTGTCTCGTGAACGATCGTCAGTTAGCTCCTTTATAATAACTGTCAAAGCACTTTTTTTTCTTTTTGTCATCGGTTCCGAGAATGTATAATCATCAAGGGCGAAAAAACTGGTTGAAAATGTATCAGTCATTAAGTTACTAAAAAGACTGCTTCAGTCTAATGAAACTTTCGTATTCCACGCTGTGTAATTTCTCGGTTCTCGTTTTACGAAATATTTTTGTATTTCATCGGAAAGTTTCGACATGAATTAAAGATGACCCGGCTGCTTCTCGTTCCGCTCGAATCATTAATAGATTTCGATAGTTCAACACGACAGGTTTCAGTCCGCCAAGGATACTTCTATGGAGCCTTTGCACGGCAACGGGAGTTCAATCGCGACGAGTTGAACAATCGGGGCAACGATTATCGACCGTTCTTACGTCAGACCGCCGTCGTTTCACGAAATACAGTGTGATTTGAGGGGTACAAATGCTAAGGACGCGATAAGAGGTTCGCGACGAGGGACTTAGACACACGTCTAATACTTTTGACTTTTCCACTCTGATTCACTGATCTGGTGAATTCGGAAGTAACAGATTCGAGGGTGAATTTGTGATGAATATTCACAAAAGAAAAGTGTCAATTGACCAGATTATATAATCGAATTTGTACGATTCAAGTGAAATACAGTACAATGATAATGTATATTGGGCCAAAATGATTATTATAGTTTCAAAGGCTTTGATATGGAATGCTGGTTACTGTTATTTTTAATTAATCTATAAAGCGTGACTCTTCTATGTACGCACAATTTTTATTATTACAATAAATTGACTTATTTTCGTTCGTTGTTCATTTAATAATATAAGTAACGTCTGTTTGCAGAAGCGTAGAAAGAATGGCGCCGAATATCACCAATACTCCGACTGGAGTACTATACGAGGATGACACGATCGAGGGTCCAGCATTGATTAATTCGCCAAAGACGAAATACGAGAGACGTATCGTATGGAGGAACGTGATATTCTTCACGTACCTTCATCTGGGGGCGGTTTATGGATTGTATCTTATCTTCACGTCCGCCAAATTGCTGACGACCATGTTCGGTAAGTTTGATAAATCCTACGATCTCTGGTGCCTCTCGCTTTGTCCATTATTGCGGACGAAACGAAGGAAGATTATTCGTAGGGACATAACGAATCTTACATAGTGTCACTTGGATTAAGGATGATCTATTTTTATGAAAATTACAAGTAAACTCAATAGATGTAATCGTTAGTAGATCAAATAACCGATGAATCGTGTGGCACATCTACTCAGTTTCCAGTTTCGCGAATCGCAATAATCTGGCATGCTTGATCAAATAATATCGAGTTGCATTGCTTTCGTCTAGGCTGAAATAAAACCAGTGTTCTGGAGAGTTTTTTTCATTCACATGCCTATTATTGCATGCTTTTTTCCAAATTCTTATTTGTTCTGCAGAGAAATAAAGAATTCGTACCGTTACGGACCCAGATCCTGATCACTTAACATTAATTATTGCTGTTTTATTGAACGTATATGTAGAAAAATTAACCGAATCCAAAAGAATTATTCTTATTCGAAGAAAACAATGTTCTACTTTTTAATTTGGTATTAACAAAAGTGCGATACTAATAATAATGAAATTGTAATTTAACTTTTAAAATAAGAAATGCAAGGAGAACAATGTTTGATCATCTAAATCATATATCTCACTCTGACCGATGAAATTTTACGTACATATTTCAAAACAGTTAATAATTATGTAGTAATTTCTCAGAAAAAAACTTGTATTTTAATAAACTTGTTATATGGTGTCTATATGCTTACCAAACTGATCAGGGATTGAATTCTGATCAGGAACTGGGTCCGTGACGGTACTGTGTCAAAATAGTCGTCGATCTGTCACGTTCGATTGTAATTCGATCGAGTAACAAGTTAACAAGACGCTTGAATTCGTTGTTTATAATTTACGTCGTTCCTAATTTTTTGTCTATCCTTTTGGTTTGCAGCTTTCTTGCTATATCTAGGAAGCGGTATAGGAATCACCGCCGGCGCACACAGATTATGGGCGCACAGATCGTACAAGGCAAAGTGGCCGCTGCAGCTTTTCCTGACGATCCTGAACACCATAGCTTTCCAAGTGAGTGAATGGTTTTTGGTCGTAGGATCACTCGTAAACCATTTAGTGGACCATTCATTGATCCTGTTATGTGAAAGGGGGGAAAAAATGAAAGACGGATTAATGTCCAGACAGCGACGACCTTTGAGCCGTGATACGATAGATCCGAGAACAGAATATGACGGATTGGAACGATTTTGATAGCTAACCAATTCAATTTGTGTGTCGCGTAAATTACTAATCAACAGATTCGCGAATGTATTTCAATTATCAGTGAATGTCTCGATCAAAATCGTGAATTTATCGGGCACGTTGATCAAACGTATTCGTCTTGGATGATTTTCAATTTAAAATTCTGTAAATGTATTGAGAAAATGAATCTTAAACCCATAGTGTATCCTCCGATTATATCGAACGTATTTTCAGATTGATTTGTCGGTGAACTGTAACTATATTTTTCTTTTGTTCATTTTTCTTTCGATAGGATGCGGCGATCGACTGGGCAAGGGATCACAGGCTTCATCATAAATACAGCGAAACGGACGCGGATCCCCATAACGCGAAGAGAGGATTTTTCTTCTCGCACGTTGGCTGGCTGTTGTGCAGAAAACACCCGGACATTAGGGAGAAAGGAAAGGGACTCGATATAAGCGATTTGACGAGCAACCCGATACTTGCGTTCCAGAAAAAGTAGGTTCTCAATGATAATTCTTAATATAAAATATAATGATTGGCCAGGATAATTGCAGTCAAATGATTCTACGTACAAAAATGAATCGAAAATATAGAAATACTTTTGTATATACAATTGTATTTTGCTCTTATCGTGTCATCTATTACGGAAACACCCTATACACATATTGTATGAAAAAAATGTCTCTTCTTTTACGGCTCAGATTACTATCAGAATCCTATATTCAAAGAGAATTTCTATGTATCCAGCGTTCAGTCATAATATCGTAATCATAAATTTATAGAGTGTTTCTACATTCAAGATATGAACACAATTTCCACGACTCCTGATCGCTTATCGAGAAGGACAATTTTCAGTATGAAACATCCCCATGATTTGAGTCTATGACGATGAGACCCCGAATGATATAAACACAGATTGGTATTGCGAAGGCCACGTTTGCCACCTGTTACCGCCATAGTATAGACATTGACCCTGTGTTGTAGTTGGTTTCTTAATTGCCCTTGAATTTAATTGCATCTTTATTGCTCGTTTCGGACGGGCCCTCGTGGAAAGGGGAGTCGTAACTCTTAACTTACGAAACGTCTTGTGCAATCTGTTCGCAGGTACTACAAAATTTTAATGCCTATTATGTGTTTCGCCATGCCCACTGTTGTGCCGGTTGTGTGCTGGGGCGAGACCTGGACGAACGCGTACTTCATCCCAGCGGTTCTGCGTTACGTTTTCACGCTGAATGTCACGTGGCTGGTGAACTCCGCGGCTCATCTCTTCGGGAACAAACCATACGACAGGTTGGTATATTATTTCTTCAACGAATAATCGAATGTAATTTTCCGGACTCGATTTCCTCCGAAGCAATGTCCATGGACTCTGTGTCCAGGTCTATAAGAACAGATTTCGGGAAATGACAAAGAAAAAATTGGGGAATTAATAGCGATAAAGTAGGAGGCCCCTATGGCGGGTAAAATTATGGTGGACATCGGTTAACCGGTCGTGGTTAGTGTCTTGTTTAATTGTAAACACTATACTCAAGAATATCGGGCATCCAGTGTACCACTGAGATTGAGATTAACATTATCCCTATCCTATATGTTAGTTACAATGCATAGAGGAAGTCTAAAGCTAAGGCTACTTTTGTACCTTCTAGCAAAGTCAATCCTTAATTCAATCTGTAACGTTAACGAAACACCGTTTCCATTAATTCCAGGTTTATCAACCCCTCCGAGAACAAGGGAGTCGCATTGACGGCGTTCGGTGAGGGCTGGCACAATTATCACCACGTGTTCCCGTGGGACTACAAAACGTCCGAGTTGGGCGGATATAGGTTCAACATAACGACGGCATTCATCGATTTCTGGGCGAAACTAGGCCTGGCGTACGATCTGAAAGTGGTCCCCATAAACGTTGTCGAGAAACGAGTGGAAAGAACCGGCGACGGTAGCCACGAACTTTGGGGCTGGGGTGACAAGGATCAGACGAAGGAAGACAGGGAGCAGACGCTGGTGATGCATAGTCTGAAGAAGGATTACTAGAAGATGATCCTCGCGAAATGGCCGATCGTTCGGCACGCGTACGACTAACAGCGGCTAATGTCTTTGTACAGTTCATAGGACGTGGACCGGATTGAGCTATCTGAGAACCAATCAGAACATTTTTTCGAATATCACTTAAATAGTTTTAATCGCGCGATCGCGGGAACGCTAGTTGCGGTCCGATTTTTCTTTCCGAAACCCGCTCGAACGTTTCTTTTCGGATGATCCAGACATTTTCTGTCCTCGTCCCCGGGGACAACTTTGATTTTGGTGCACAGGTGTCGGGTTCACGACGACACTTTGAACGTGTAAAGCAATAGTCACTTCTGTCTGAAGTCTCATGGATGATCCTATAGTACAGTACGATGATGGATCGATTGTATATCGTGAAAATCGATTTTTCTGCAGGGACAAAAAAACGGTAGCTCGAGCCGTTCGAAAAGTCGGAACGGTAGCTGATCTCTCGCGATCACGCGACTAATTTTATGGGTCATTTGGCAGGTTCTAAATGTCCTCAGTGATTCCGGGGGAAAAAATATCAGACTCTTGGTCGTACTCATCTGTTCCTCATTGCCGCGATTACATTCTAGATCACAACGATTATAGATACGCGTTTCGACGATACTTTCTGAATGATTCAGATCCCTCAATGCATCGATTATTTAATACATAGTTCGTATATTAGTTCAGTCCGTAGGTGTTGTCGAGGTTCGGTCGAACGAACTTCCGTTGAAGGCCCTGGATCGTAAGGTGGCCGCGCACCCTTTACCTTCGGTTGATCGTTCGGCGCTTGATACTCGGTTTAGTAATAGACTATTTAATCCCCCCCCCCCTCTCACTTTTGACGCGAATATTCGGGGCTACGAAGCGGCGAATACTGTCAGTTGCTGCAGAGCTATTTAGATTCGAGGGTAACAGTACTTCGACGATATAATCGATGATGCGATGGATGTACGATGATATACGATCGCTTGTTGGTGCTGGTAAGCCTCTTCAGGGGCTTGCTTTAAGTATAAATCGGACAAGTGTATCGTGTGCCAACGGAATCGCCTAAAAGTGTTAGTTGCGAGCATGGTTTGAAATCCTAGTATCGGAAAGGATGGATGATTAAATGAAAACTTGTACGAAACTTCACCACAGGGATTATTATCTATAAAAATATTCGTTCGATGTTTTCAGGAAACGCAGAATGTTTCGTATATGCACGAAGTATTGGTACCTTTCGAAACACCCTCCTATCTCTATTTTTCCATCATTCCCCATCGGAACTGTTTCGCTTTCCGCCCCCCCCTACCCAGAAAATAAAAGAGCGTAAACCACGCGCATTCCGATTTTAGCTTCGTCCGAGCATTTAGACGTAATATTTCCTCTTCCTGGGATCCATGAAAGTATTCCGCCACGTTTTTTACGCGTACCTTTCATCGAGACACACGGGCATATATCTCGTTGATTGCCCCCCCCGCCCAATTCTGTCCGTCGTATTTAGCCACTAGAAAAAAAGGAAGCATTTTATCTACCACACTTGTCCCGTTTGTTCACGAACGTGGCAAAAAAAGTAAATATATATTTTTCCTTCTTCGATTCCGTCTGTCAGTCTGTCGATACACATATTGTAAAAGTGATCGATTGTTATTAGTGCCTTGGATTTACGAGGAAAATCATTGTTCGAACAGAAAACTGAAACGACGTCACCACGTACGTAAAATAACAATTACCAGACTCGTTGGGGAACAAGTTCGTAAGCGCGAGGCAAGCTCACGAGAAGCTTGCACACCAGGTACCTGAAACGCAGGAAAACGAGGCGAGGGCTACAACACTTTCTAGGATTTAAAGGCAACCACCTCGCGCATCCCCCTAACTTATTCCTACCGGCCTGCTGGAGAAGCGTGCGAACAATGGAAGATCTACACGTATGCTCGACGAACGAGTGCCTCTCTGCGCCGAAAACGAGAGTGCGTGGCCGCGGTTCGATTGGTTAGGAGTCGACGCGAACCAGATACTTTTTGTTACTTTAATCGTGTATACCGTGCCGTGGTCAAGCGGATTTACACACACAAACACATGTTATTTGTACGATTATTTGCATGTCAAGACACGGTGCAAAACCGTGTGAAAAAAAAAAAGAAAGAAAAAAAGAAACATAAATGTTCAGAAGAAAAGTACTTGTGTATATATATACATACTTTCATGGCAAATTCCGGCGAGACGATTTCGATCGTCGTAATTTCCCCGATCGAACCTACCAATGGAAGAGAGAGAGAGAGAGAGAGAGAGAAAGTGAAATGAGATTTTCGTGGAATTCACGACGGAATGAAAGAGGACAGTGTTAAAATATATTTTTCCAGAAAACTCTTCTGAGCAGTACTTCTACCATTTGATCTTTGTCAAACATAATCGGGAAAGCTCGATGAACTGATGAACACCTTCGTCTGTATTTTCACGTACATAGTTTGATAATGGAAGAAGCTTAATACCAAAATTTCGACGAATTTCATCCATTCCTTATACGATCGAAAGGGGAGTGTGCTTAGAAGTGTTCGAACGAATTTCTACATCTTCCAGTGTGAACTTCCGCAATATTTTGGCAACAGACTACCATAGACTCCCAATTATCCGGCCACATGTTTGGCGACAAAAAAACAATTGACTGGAAGAAAAATTATCAACATATTCCGTGATTATTCACTCGCTTCCGATGAAATTTATTCTTTATCGTGTTTGTCATTGTTCAAATAGTCTTTCTAGGATTAATTTTTGTTTTCTATTCATACTAAATGTTTGAGTACTGGATAAATTGTTTGAATGCTGATACACGCCTGATTAATCGGCCAGAGGTCTGATCACACAGGGAGCCGGTAAAGCGGGTGTCTACTGTTACCCATACCCTTCATCCTAACCTGGGCAACAGAAATTACAAGATTGAAACGTGTTCGAAAGTCCAAGAACAGTTTTCCCCATCGCGTGTCGCTGTTACTAATCATTCCAATAATACCGGTCATATCGGTTGTGACTACCACGTATCGTCTCCGGAGGGGTCTGAAATTCGACGAATAGATTTTCATTTGTCTCTCATCTGCGTCAAGAAAGTCACCACTATTATCTTTTTTATGCCTTTGCTTTTTCTTTTCCGTCTGCCTTTTCTTCCATATTTTCTTTTTCTTCGTTTAACTTTCGCTTTTTCGCCCTATAACCGTCTTCTCGTCTCCCACCTTTTCTTCTTCCTCTCTTTTCTTCTTGCGTTTTTCTTCAGTGTCTTTTCTTTTTTCTTCGTGTTTTCCTCTTCTTCCTTCGTCTGTTGCTTTCCCTTCCGTCTTTTCCTCTTCTGTTCCTTACTCCCCTCGAATCGCATGAGTGTGGAAATACATCGAATGTATGATTGCGGCGTCGTGTTTCGCTAAAAATGGCGATAGCGTCGGAAACGCTTGGCCGTTTTAGAGGGCGCGATGGCGAGACGTTCGAAGGATGCGACCTCCTCGTGACCGTTGTGTTTGCATGTCACGATGTGTCAACGGGTGAAAAATCGCCATCGACACGCGTCCACATTTCTCTTTTTTCTTTCTTTTTTTTTTTTATAAGAAAAACCTCTATTATACGTGTCTGTAACGCCAATGTAAGCCGTTTGGGGACTCGAATAACTCTCGCGAATTTAGCTTTTAAGGATTAATCTTAACGTTCAAAGTGATGTGCGCTGTTACCAGGATAAAGAGGCAAATATATTCTGTTTTGTTACAAGACCGGACAGGGGTGGTTTATGGTTCTCTTCCTGTCTCGTGTGGTAGTAATTAATAGACTGCGGAAGTGTATGCTAATTTACAATTTCGTATACTAACATAAAGAAAAATTAAAATGATGCAGTACTTGGAATTTATATTAGAGTTAGAGTGTTAAACTACGTTAAAACCTTTATTTTATGGCATTTTTAAAGTTAAGAGGTGCTATAAATGCATAAACCTCCGTAGTCTAGTAATTAAAGACTCGATTTCGGGGTTAACGCGGATGCAAAACGTATTCTTTTTGTCTTTTTCCTCCTCAATTTCGCTCTCTTCAGTTTCGACATTATAGATTGTATGCTGAACACGCACGCATGCCTTTGATTGTTTCCTTCCTTTTTTTTGTAGTTTCAATAAAGGCACGCACTCAAGGAAACGTTATGGCCTCACTTGTTTCTTTGCTTCCTTTAAACAGTGTAAAGAATCCAACTGGTTGCAGTATTTTATACATGTTTACGGTATTTTGTATTATTCACAGAAAGAAGTGGAAAATGTTTAATCAACATAGGTCCAGAAATCAATCCTTTAAAAATAAAATAGAAAAGATTGTTTTCATCATTTGTTACAGATGTTCGATACGTTTTCCTTCCGACATCTTCCATCTGTCCACATTGACCTAATATTGGATATACCAATAAGTCAATTTACTATGAATTTATATTATGAAACGGTACTGTTTTAAATTGGAAAATATCTTCTCGACTTTCCGCCGAGGAAAAGTGGGTTATAGGATGCTGAAGAATCATTACGAAAATACAATTCACATGGTAACCTTGAAACGAATACAGATTTCGTCAAGAAATAGTGGATTACTTTAATGGAATACTTAGGGTGGATGCACCAGTAAATGAACATTGCATATAAAAACGGGTAAATAAATTATTAAAATATGCATGATTAAATATTGATTTTCTTCAATCTCTCGTGTCATATTCAAACAATTTTCGCTTCACAGGCTAAAACTGTTCAGTTAATGGTTTATATTCCTTCATTGGTGAAATCTGTATTTTTCTTTAATTTAATTAATTCCATTGTTCCAATTTTTCAAACTGAAATCTATACGTTATAAGAAGATATAGATATTAAAAGATTTTATTTACACGTGTAAAATATTTATCAATACTATTATCCTTTAAAATTTCACTTTAATAGTTACAGAATCTCTTAAGTATTCATTGGCGCATTTACCCTATATTCGAAATAAACTGCCCTCAAACCGAGTCGTCTACTTTAACTTCTCCAAGACCTATTAATTCGGTATTGGAGGTGCGAACTAACACTTTCGGTTTGCCTGCAAAACTGCACGACAAAACAATTCCAATTTTACATCGTCATTTCCTCAATAAAACGGGCTTCAGTATTAATAACTCCGTTAATTTCGTTTCCGTAATTGCATATTATTTTACATCCGGCATTTCCTTTGTTCTTATGTCTCTGTGCTCAATAAAACGAATTTACGCCGAACGCTGGCGTTGATTCAGTGTCGGATGCTTTTTCGATCGAAAAAGTCGCCGGTGAGTGTTCAGGCGTTCCACCAGTGTTTTTAAACGGTTCTGCTTTTCCAGTCGGACTCCATCGTGCCCTCCTGGTGGTTGGGAAATCGGTACCACGGGATTGAAGAGTCGTTCGGAAACTATACCGTATGAAATTATAAATTTGCTCGTATTAAAACCCGAGTTCGTCGCACTCATCGAGATATTACTGTATATTTAAAATGAAAGAAGCATAAGGTTTCAAACGGACCTAGACACAACTGTCTCTACGAACATTAAAAACGTCCCTTCTCCGAGGGTTAACAACATATTAGAATTAACAACATAAAGAATGGCGCCGAACATTACCAGTGTCCCAACTGGGGTACTATACGAAGATGACATAGTCGACAAGTCAACATCGAGTGCATCATCCAAGCCGAAATACAAGATGCGAATCATTTGGATGAACTTAATGGCCTGCTGTCTCCTTCATTCGGGGGCGTTTTACGGATTGTATCTTGCCCTCACATCCGCCAAACTGTTAACGAACATTTTCGGTATGTGTGAATTCTAGTTTTTAGGCAAAGTAAATAATTTGTACCTTGTTAACGATATTCGTCGTTGATCTGTCACGTTTGACGATGAATTTGATCGAATGAAACGTTAAAAAGACTTTTTTGAAAAAGACGTTTTTGTTCGCAGCTTTCTGGTTACACATAGTAAGCGCTATAGGAATCACAGGCGGTGCTCACAGATTATGGACACACAGAGGGTACAAGGCAAAATGGCCGCTGCAACTTCTGTTGATGTTAATGAACACCATAGCATTCCAAGTAAGTGAATGGTTTTTGCTCGCAGATTGATCTTGTTGTGTGATTGGGGAAAAAAATGACAGATTAAGGTCCCTTTGCCCTTTAGCGGCCGGAAGAAAATGGTGACACTTAGGAAATTTGTTTGAAAGAAAGCAAAGAAAATATGACCAAAAAAGCTTCCTGGCCTTTATTTATGATACCTTCATGTGAATGAAAACAGCTTTTGTTCCAATATTCCGAGTTCCAATTCCGTTCCGAAATTGCACTGTATTCCAACGGTGCCCAGCATAACCTGAAAAGTTATTAACTAATTTTAAAAATTCTTGTGGCATTCTTCTTGTAATTGAATCACTATCGCATGACCTGCCATTGAAAATTATGAAACATAAATTCTTTTGTCATTTACAATAATATACATAAAACTTCCTCCTTTTTTGCATGTCTTTGTTAAAACTGATACCAAATACGGCCATTTTATTTTTTCGACTTCATGAGAGGTCGTATAATAGATGTGGGAGTAACATTTAATAATCCTTTTGAAATTGTAATTTAGGATCACTCTAAAAGAAATTCTTTAATATCACCTTTCTTTTCGGTCCGTTAAAGGGGAAAACGGCCTTAATGGTCAGACGGCGAGTGACCTTTGAGCCGTGATACGATAAATCCCAGAACAGAATTAGACGGAATCGAACGATTTTCATAGCTAATCAGTTCAACTTGTCGTGCCCCTTACTAGTCAGTGAACCCGTGAATTTAATTCAGTTACCAGTGAATATTTCGATCAAAATCGTGAATTTATCGGGCTCGTTGATCAAATGTGTTTTCCTTGAATGATTTTCAGTTTAAAATTCCGAAAATGTATTCAGAAAATACATCACAAAACCGATAGTATCCTCCGACTGTTACACCGAATTTTATTTTCCGATTTATTCGTGGGTGAACGGAAATTCAACTTTTGTTTTGTTGATATTTCGTTCGATAGGATGCAGCGATCAACTGGGCCAAGGTTCACAGACTTCACCATAAATTCAGCGAGACAGACGCGGATCCCCATAACGCGAAGAGAGGATTCTTCTTCTCGCATGCTGGCTGGTTGTTGTGCAGAAAGCATCCGGACTTTGTGCAGAGAGTACAGGAGATCGATATGAGCGATCTGAAGGACAATTCCATACTTGCGTTCCAGAGAAAGTGAGCCGTCCTCGATCAATTAAAGTTGAATATTCGATGACGTTGAGACGTTTATGCATAGAATTCTTTATTTGGCCAACTTATAGACCGAAAGCGTTTATTCAGATTTCCATCGGGTTTCTAACCGAATTTAACTGTATTTCTGTTGCTTGTTTCGCGCAGACTCATGCGCAGTGTGACCATCCAACAAAAATATTTCGTACTAGGTTATGCAGAAAAAAGGTACAAAATTTAAAAAAAAAATATACTAAATTTTTGTTTGCTTTGCGTTTCACTCTATAAGGGGCGATTTACAATATTACTACCGTATTATTTGAACATTTGCTCGTTTAAATATTCCGATAATTCCATTGGTGTATACTAAGTTTTGAATGTAAAGGAAAATTTTTATATATTAACGTCCAAATTATACTGTGCATCACTGAAAGGTAATACTCATATTAGTATGGGATTAGGGAGGAAAAAAAGAGAAATCACGGTTGTTTCATTGAATGTGACAAAATATTGAACTCATATGTCTAACTTTTACATTATTGTTGTTGTTAGACATATGAGTTCAATAAATTCTTCTGCCCCTCTACCCCCCATATGTCACATGCAATTAAACAATTATTATTTCTCTTTTGTCCCTCTAATAATAACTTATATATTTGTTGTTATTATTATTCTTATTATTCAGAAGGAAGAAAGTACTAGATCTTTTGCTAAACGTCCTGGAACACTGAAATTTTTTAAACAATACTAGGTCTAGTACGAAAGTATTAGTGGTGGTCACACTGCCCATTAGGGGACAGTCGGTTTTCTAACAAAACGCGTTGCGTAATTTGTTCCCAGGTACTACAGAATTTTGATGCCTCTTCTGTGCTTCGTAATGCCCACGGCTGTGCCGGTTCTATGCTGGGGTGAGACGTTGACGAACGCTTACTTTATCGCAGGGATTCTGCGCTACACTTTTACGATGCATGTCTCGGGGCTGGTCAACTCCGCGGCCCATCTCTACGGGAACAAACCGTACGACAGGTTGGTGTATCGTTTCTCTATAAACAAAAAAAAAGAAAAAAAAAAAAAAATCCGCTCTGTGTCCTTTATCTTCCCGTTCGGACCTTTACTTTTGTCTCTGCAACATTTTTCTTTCTATTAACAATAACTATTGAAAATTTATTGGGTCGCCTTTTCGTTATTTACCGTTTCTTGCTCGCTGTTCAAGCAACGGTTCATTCGTTCCAGATTCATGAACCCCGCCGAGAACATCCTGGTAATCATACTGGCGTTAGGCGAGGGATGGCACAACTATCACCACGTGTTCCCCTGGGACTACAGAACGTCCGAGTTCGACGGATCCATTTTGAACGTGACGGCAGCTTTTATCAATTTTTTCGCCATGTTTGGTCTGGCGTACGACCTGAAAGTAGTTCCAAAGGACGTTATACGTAAACGTGTGGAGAGAACCGGCGATGGTAGCCATGAACTTTGGGGTTGGGGTGACAAGGATCAGACGCAGGAGGACAGGGATCAGACGGTTGTTACGCATCGTCTGAAGAAGGATCGTTAGAAGACGATCCGCGAATGGCGTATGGTTCGCTACGCGAGACGAACGACGGTCAAATCTTCGTAAAGCTTAACCTTTTCGTTACATTCGACGACTTTAGTTGCTCTCCGTGAAGAGACCCCTGTATGGTAGGGGCGACTTATAGTCGTGCGACACATGACTCTAATATTTTTGCAGATTTATTCTTATTAAATGGAAATTTTTCAAACGCTTTTATATAGCACGCCTGCGTGTTTCATAATATTATTTGTTTTTGCGGGAGAATAATTATTAGGAGTTCGCGGTAAACATTAGGTACGAAGCGAGTATAGTAGCGCAACTGCGTATTATCAGGTACTGGTATGTTCAGTGCAGTGGTACTGCGGGGTTGCTTTCTTTATAAAGACGTCGGTACCGAGAGGGTTAATGGACGGAATCAGATTCAGAACCGATCGGAAACTTTTCTAATGTATTACTTTATGAGGATATATGTCTATATGTTAATAAAATATTAAAAAAAGAGTGGAACGTAATAGTGATCACATGAAAAACTTTGTCGGCTTACTCTCTCTCTCTCTCTCTTTTTGAATTCTATCAGGCGACTCTCTTTGCTTCCACCTTCTCATGCACCTTTTACCCTAGAACTCCCTAGGGGATGGCTTGTTTCTCACACCCATAATTTGGAAATAGGACTATTGTGTCCTTGTATCCAAAATTCACAAAAAATTATCTATTTTCCTGTGCACTTCTAAGTTTAATATTCAAGAGTACCCGTTGCTATGTGTAAATAAAACAAGTTCTTTAAATGTTTACTGAGAGTTACTAAAATACACAGATTTTTCTATCGACGTTTATTATTTTATTCATCTCACCGCAGAATAACAGGTTATCGAACCTGGAAATGTCAAAGTTTCTATTTAAAGAGTTCAGAAACGCCAAAATAACGGGTTACAAGACTTGGAGTATTCGAAACGGTGGTTTTAAAAGGTTCGAAAACGCCAAAATCACGATCTAGAGAACTTGGAAAAGTAAAAATTGCTGTTTTTAGGGGTTTGTAAACAAAACAATCGCTGAAATTGCTTCTTTTACAACTGGACCGATTTATGTGAACAGAATACTGCCACAGGTACATTTAAAAGTTTGTTTCTTGATTTCTGGAAAATCAAGTTTTATGGTTTTTCCCCTGGACCCTTCACATATACAGGGTGTCCCAAAAATGTCCTCCGACCCGGAAATGTGGCACTCGGGGGGTGAATTGAAACAACTTTTTCCTTAGCAAAAATTTAAACTGAGGCTTCGTTCACGAGATATTAACGAAAAACCGCGACCAATCAGAGCGCGAGTTTGCCAGCCGAGTTCCCGCGCTAGCGGTGGCTACGCGCTACGCTAGTACTACGATGCTCCGAACAAGTAGGTCACAAATCAAACTCAATCAAATAAACAAGACGTAACAAATAAAATCATACTTTTTATCATTTGTCGTTTGTTATTTAAAGAGATTAATGAATGAAACGTAAATGTAGGCAAATTATGTTTAACGTAAAAAGACGAATGCACATTTACATTTTTGTAAATTCCTTTTTACGAATTTGTAAATTTCCTTTTCAAATAACGTGTGAACGAAAAGGTAATGTAACAAAGAATAAACGAGAAGTGATTGTAGTTCGGTGAAATTAATAAAACAATAATGACCAATAAACTGAATAGAACTCACCCTTACGGAAATTCACCTGCAGCGTAGAAACCTGCCTCAGTAGGTCAGTGTACCGATCCTGGTCATCGACGGCACAAACGGTTTATGGCAGGGTATGGCCCAGTTCGCAGGTGATCGCAGGTATACCTCACCAGCCGAAGTTAAGGGTTGTAACGTCAAGTGCGTCCTGGTTATTCCACAGAATACGTACTCGCTTCACTGCACGACCACTAACACTGATCACCCGACACAATCACTTAATGTATTTTTAATCCAACGTGTTGTTACTACGTTAGGAAAATTCGTGGCCTCGGAAAGGGCCGATTGTTTTCAATTTTTCAGATGTTTTACGTAACCAAACACTTGCACAGCAACACCCGCATATCCGTTATTGTGTACGTACCACCATAACATTGCGTAATACTCCCGTGAACTGAACATCTCTGTCGCCCGATTGCTAACCGACTGACAGAATTTTTCCTCTACCCCCAAGTAGTTTCCCATCGTTACATTGTGAGTTCACTCCCACCATGACAAGATTTAGGTAGAAAGAAACCAACGGTTCTAGGATAACACGTGCTTTGCAGAAGTGGAAGGAAAGGACCGTCGCGCAGTTTCTCCAAGGCGCCGTAGCCCGTTAATTTATTGCCAGGGTACCTACTCCTTCGAGATAGAAAACAGACATCACGTGCATCGGCTTAAAAATGTCCGAAATGAAGAGGACCATCAACGTAACCCTTGCTTCGAGTTGGACTAGTTTATGTGGGAGTGAATTTGAGAATGTATTTGGAACCGATTTGAAACCATTGGTGGAAGGGACACAGAATCGCTCGAGTAAATATTCCGAAAGCTAATGGAATCGTAACCGGAACCCATACAAGTGAGTACTTCCTTCGTCATAACAGTTGTAACATCGTTTTGATTTTTTATAACTGCGTCAGAAAGAACATTCATGTAACAAGTATTAACAGCTATTTCTCATATTGCGGCAATCCGTAAGTAGAACAAAAGAATTCCATTTTGCACCATATACGTCTATTCTTCTATTACCTGCAACTTTAAGAATCCGCATTAACATAAATGAATTCCATTTAAAAAATTTCATACCATTTTACACAGACATTTCCTCTGTTTCGTGTCTTCTATTGTTCTCTCAAGTTTAACGTCGACAGGCCGCATTGATATACCTAATTCATTCCATATTTCGAATGTCAGTTCACTTTGCACCGTCATTTCCTTAATTCCCAACTTTCAAATGCTTGTGTCGGACGTCACCGACGAACAAGTCGTCAGTGAGTGAGTGTTTCAGCTTCAGATGTTCGTCTGTTTTCGCTGCTTCAACTTCTCCAGCGAATTTCCGCCATACCTCCACCTGTACGAATATTGGGGGCCTCGGTGTTCAAAGTGCTTGACGGTACCTAAGTTGTAAAGGTAAAAATTTTGATTCCATATTAGACCGTGAAATTTATACGTTTTATATTAGACGTATCAACATTTTGTCGCATTATATCAACCCTATTTCGATGGTCTTGAAATTTTTAATCATTTTCTGGTTTCGTTTGCTGTTCCTTTAACAACAGTTGACGTCCGTTCGCAAAAGCAAGAAAAGAATGGCGCCGAACGTCACGAGTACCCAGACGGGAATATTATACGAAGACGACATGATCGAGAATTCCATACCGATTCAACCGTCAAAGACAAAATACGAGATACGCATCGTCTGGAGGAATGTAATATACTTCTTGCTATTTCACTTAGGCGCGCTTTACGGACTGTATCTCGTCTTCACTTCAGCCAAATTGTTGACGACCATTTTCGGTAAGTGTGACAAATCCTACGATCTCTAGAGCCTCTATCTCATTCATCCTTGCCCTTTTTTCCACATTCCTATTTGTTTTCCAGATAAACAAAGCATTTATACTACTTAAAAGTACTTGTCAGTGATCAGTCACATTCGATCGTGATTTGATCGAGCAAAAAAGTTGGAAAGATACTCAAATTCGTTGTTCTTAATTTTTCGTTTTATTTCTTCGGTTCGCAGCTTATTGGCTATACAGAGTAGGCGCCACAGGAGTCACCGCCGGAGCTCACAGATTATGGACACACAGAGCGTACAAGGCAAAATGGCCGCTGCAACTTCTACTGATGGTAATGGACACCATAGCATTCCAAGTGAGTGAATTATCTTCGGTCGCATGATAACACCGTGAATAGACTTGAAATTTTTCGTTCGCTGATTTTGTATTTCGGCAGGATTCGGTGATACACTGGGCCAGGGATCACAGAGTCCACCATAAATACAGTGAGACGAACGCAGATCCCCATAACGCGAAGAGGGGATTTTTTTTCTCGCACATTGGCTGGCTGTTGTGCAGAAAACATCCGGACCTTATTGAGAAAGGGAACGGGATCGATATAAGCGACCTGAAGAGCAACCCGATACTCGCGTTCCAGAAAAAGTAGGGACTCTTTAATCATTCTCTATGTAAGATGACCCGTAAAAATTGAACAAAAAAAAAAATGGAACCAAAATATAGAATAGATACTGTTCATTTCAAAGGTACAGTAGACTCGCGTTAAAAAGCTGCTGGTTAATGTAGCGATAGGAACGTCTCAGCTCACACTCATCATTCAAACACGGACTTGCAGCCTACTGTAGCCAACAATAATTACTCCATTAACCGAGCTGCTACCAGACCCCATGTGCCAATGGTCCTCGTTCATATGCCGTTTACTACAAAAGGCCGTCTGTAGAGCCCCAGGGATAGTACTTTACTGCGAGTCTACTGTAATTGATTTTTCCATTACGCTCGTAATATTTTTATAGATTTTAGTAGAAGTATTTCTTCACCTCTTATTGGACCACTCATTGTTTAAATTCTGCATTTTTGTTACTTGCTTTGTGTAAACTGACGCCTGGAGAATCTTAACATACCCTTAAAAAACGTCTGTTTGCGATGCGTTCATAGGTACTACATAATTTTGATGCCTCTTCTGTGTTTCGTCATGCCCACGGTTGTGCCAGTTGTGTGTTGGGGCGAGACATGGACAAACGCATACTTCGTCTCTGGTATTCTGCGCTTTGTTTTCACACTCAATGTCACGTGGCTGGTCAACTCGGCGGCCCACCTCTACGGGAACAAGCCATACGACAGGTTGGTGTATTATTTTCTATGAACAAGAAAAAACGAACGTCCACTACGTCTCCTTTATCTTCACGTTCTGCCTTTCGTACTCCCTCTCCCTTGTCCTCCTTTCAATCTCTCACCCTGTTCCTCGTAGACAATATCCTTCACATGTTGGGAATAAACTCAATGGTATTTTTTGTTGAATTATATTACGAAATTGTATTAAAAATAGTGCCAGTCAAAATTGACGCCGCTGATATTTTCTCTGTCGATGGTAAACTTTGCGTTCTGGCATTTACTATTATTCTCATCCTATATGTTAACAACGATGCACAGCAGATGTTTACAGCATGTGAGGATCCCAATTCTCATACCAAAATTAATTCTAGTTCATCTGAAATGTTGACAAACATCGTTTTATTATTTTCAGATCCATCAACCCCTCGGAGAACAAGATTGTATCCTTACTGGCGGTAGGCGAGGGATGGCACAACTATCACCACGTGTTCCCGTGGGACTACAAGACGTCCGAGTTGGGCGGATACAAGTTGAATACGACGACGGCTTTCATCGATTTCTGGGCGAAACTCGGTTTGGCGTACGATTTGAAAGTGGTCCCCAAGAAAGTTATACAGAAACGGGTGGAGAATACAGGCGACGGTAGCCATGAACTTTGGGGTTGGGGTGACAAGGATCAGACTCAGGAGGACAAGGAGCAGACGGTTGTAACGTATCGTCTTAAGAAAGGTCACTAGAAGACGTTCCGCGGAATTGCCGATCGTTCGCTACATGTACCGAACGACGGTCAATTCTGCATATAACCCTTAAAGTACAAGGGATGGAATAAAATATTTCAAATAAAAGTTTAATGGTACAATAAGCGCTATAAACATGCATTGCCAATATTTTGAAGAAAGTTTTTTTCTTAGCAAGAAAATTTGAAAACACTTTTTTCAAAATTCTGTTAACGCAAGTTTATAGCGCTTATTGTGCCATTAAACTTTTCTTTGAAACATTTTCTTCTATATCTTGTACTTTAAGGGTTATACGCAAAAAAGTGGGAGTGCCTATTTGACTTTGAGGTGAGTTTTCACACCCTTAACGGGCGATTGGACACGAATGAAGCATACCGTTATTCTTGCCTTGAATCACTCTATAAACTCACAAAGCTGCATTGAAATCCGTGAGGAAGGGTTCGCGGTGTTCCCTTGTAAGTGAAAAGGACACTGAAAACGCAACGGGCACCTATACTTGATCTCCATGAAGCGTCTGCGTTAGGGCATGGAAGCTGCAGTTGTCCGTCGTGAAGCGATCCTTGTATGCTAGGGTAGACTATAGTCATCCACCACATGGCTTTAACATTTTTTAGATATCTGGATTTAATGGAAATTTTACGAACACTTTTAATTCAGCACGCATATTTGTTCTAAAATATCAATTGATTTTCATGGGGAATAATTATTGTGATGTTACGGTTAGTGTACAGCGTGTGTCCAGTGCAGCAGTACTGGGGGATTGCGTTTCTGGCGGAGACGCCGTTATCGAAAGGGTTTATCGATCGGAACCTTTTTTGGTGTACCACCGTGTGCTGATATACAATTATATGTTAATAAAAAATTAAATGAAAAGTAGAACTTGAATGACACCTACCCCCTCCCCAACTCCACTCTCTCTAGGAATCGGTGAGACGTTTCGAGACTTAGGAGTTTTGAGGGCTGAGATCTACTCATCATACAGGGTGTAACAAAAGTGTTGTAGCTCCCTGAAGTTTTTCCTTATCAGAAATGTTATTCGAGTCTTTGTTAATTTGATATTGACAATAAACCCCGACCGGTACATTCATTTGTCACTCATAACTCACTTATTCTCGCCACGAAATTTAAATATCCACAACTTGAATAATTTTAATCACGCGATACGGGATTACCAGTTACGTCCAATTTTTCGAATCAATCGGATCATTTTAACATATCACTTAACGTGCACACTCTCGGGTTAATTCAAGCAAGCAGCGTTATTTTGCGATGAAACCTTACGCGAAGAACTCGTTGACAACATCAGTGAAATCACCCCGAAAATAAGAACTGTGAACAGTAAAGTACACGATCCTAATTAGTCCTTCCCAAGCCCGTGCCTTTAGTCGCAATATTTCCTTCCTGAGATCTGTGGAATTGTTTAGGTCACGTTTTTTTACGTGTACCATTCGTCGAAACCGATATCTCTTCGAACGTCCCTATCCGATCCTCCCTATTGAATTTCCGCACTAGAAATCCTTCCGCTGTGGCCCACGAATGTGCAACATAAATATGTTTTCTTCATCGATTTATCTGTCTGTTTACTTGACATTGTGAAAGTGATCAATTTGTTGTTAGTAAACTTGACGGTCACGAAAAACGTGTGCACGTATTATAGGTACACTTCTTCGAGAAAAAACTCCAAGCGTGCACTTTGTACGGCAGAGCTGCATAACTTCTACTCACGAAGTCAGTCTTCCACTCCCGGGGTAGGGAGCCGCGTAGTGGGGGAATCTCGGGAGTAAGAGACTGTTTCCGTGAGTAGAAATTACTGTGGGTAAAAAAAGTGTTCGTACACCCTTTAAAAAAAAAACAATTATTTTAAAATTTGTCCGGGCGACTTCAGTTTTTTTGTGAAATTAAAAAGATTCGTTTACTAAATGATGTGTAAAAAAATGTTAAAAACTTGCAATTGGTCGGAATCGCGAAGAAAATAGTAAAGGTCGTTCTTTACAACTTTTTTATCTGAGATTGTAATGAAAATTTAATGAATACATTTCAAAGATTTATGTTAGTTACATAGATACTGAAACTTTCATTGAAATCACTTGATACAGAAACGAGCGACAGGCATCGAAAGATGTATGAATCTTCAGATTTACTACAGTTGTAGGCCGAAAGTCCCGAAAAATTGCGATTTTCAACATTTTTAACCGTTTGTATCTCATAGCAATGTTAACCGATTTCGATGAAACTTTCAGCATGTACATAACTAACGAACACCTGACGTGATTGGCTCTAAGGATTAGCGATTACGTTAAAATGACATGTGCTGTGTTACAAGGATGTTACGTAGCGAAGACACTCTCGTGACCCCTTAACATTATCGAGAGTTGGAGTGCATGAGACCTGCATAAGGTTGTTTCCTAACCTGCAACATCTACGTTTATTCTTATGTCGACTACACTTATAATGAGCTGCAATAACTTAATGTATTCAATATCAACCACATTATTCTACTTTATTCTGCCATTTCCTCTGTTTTGTGACTTCTGTTTAATTGTTCCCTGAATTTCAACGTCGATAAGCCGCATTCACTTAATTAATTCAATATTTTACAATGTCAGTCCATTTTGCAGCGTCATTTCCTTAGTTTTCACACGGAAGTACACAATGAAACTACTTTGTAGCGACGACCAGCATTAATCAAAATTCAAATACTAGCGCCGGATGCCACCGACTAACAATTCGTCAGTGATTGAATGCTTCAGCTTCAGATGTTCGTCTGTGCTTGCCGCTTCAACTTCTCCAGGGAATTTTCGCCGTACCTCCGCGTGTTCGGATACTGGGGCCTCTTTAAGAAGAATTAAGGCCTCTTTGATCATTCTGTATGTAAGTTTCTCTATGTAAGAAAAAAAGTGAAACCAAATATAGAACAGATACAGTTCATTTTAAAAGTACAGTAGTCTAAACACGGACGTGAAGTAGGGTGGACCTTATTTTTCAGTTATATAATATTTAGCACGCCGTCCCCTAAAGTTGTTTCATTTCATGAAAAAATAATGTATACAAAATTTGAGATCAATTGGACGTCAGCAAGACGTATTACATCGAATGCGAAGTTTTGAAATGGGAGTAACTGCACGCTAAATGTACCGAGTAGTGTGTTTCTGAAAATTTAAGTGAAATATTTTATACTTTCGAGAATAGCATAATTCTTTACTTATTTAGTGTTCAGTTTTGTCCATATGTACATTAAAACACAAATTTAATTTGTACGAATTAAGAATATTTCTCATTAACTGGCCCGCAGCAACACCGAAATATGAGATTTCAGCCTTCGACATCGACTGCACGCTGTACGTTATATGTAGAATTTTGTGTGAATCAATCCATGGGCCTTGAAAATGCAGTTACAGCTGTTCAGGTCTGGGTTAGGTTACTGTGACTGTACTGTACTAATGACTCTCTTCCCCTCGCCACGAGTACCTCCGTACCTTCATTCGGTCCTGGCCTAAAAAAGTTGGATCTGGTGAATTATTATTTTTAAATATGAAGTAGTAATATATATTTCTTTCGCTCTTATTGATCCACACATTGTTTGAAATCTGCATTTTCGTTATTTGCTTTGCGTGAACTAAAGCCTGGAGAATCATAACTATTCCTCAAAAACGTCTGTATGCGATGCGTCCACAGATACTTCATGATTTTGATGCCTTTTCTGTGTTTTGTTATGTCCACGATTGTGCCAGTTGTGTGTTGGCGCGAGACATGGTCAAACGCATACTTTGTTCTTGGTATTTTTTGCTTTGCTTTTACACTCCATGTCACGTAGCTCGTCAACTCGGTGACCCACTGCTATGGGAACAAACCATACGACAGGTTGGTGTATTATTTTCTATGAACAAGAAAAAGCGGTCGTCCACTACGTCTCCTTTACCGTTGCGTTCTGCCTTTCGTACTCCCTCTCGCCGGCCCTCCGCCCAATCTCTCACCCTGTTCCTCGTAGACAGTGTCCTTCACATGGTGGGGATAGACTCATGAGTATCACCGGATGATTTTTGTGGAATTGTATTACGAAATTGTATTGAAAACGGTATCAGTCAAAATTGACGCCGCTGATTACTTTCTCTGACGATGGTAAGAAACATTGCGTTCTGACATTTACTATTATCCGTATCGTATATGTTAGGGGATGTTTACAGCGTGTGAGAATCCCCATTCTCATACCGTACACGGAGGACCCTTCAACAAAATGAATTCAAGTTTATCTGTGACGTTAACAAACATCGTTTCATCATAGGTGTTTAAGGCAAGGGCTCTTCTCTGGACAGGGGCGATTGCTCCCCTCTCTCCTCCCTCTAAAAATATTCTTTATTCTTTTCAATACAGAAAATGACCTTTCGGCCTTCCAAATTGCTATAGGAGTAGTAAAAAATAATCTGTATGCAATATATACATTCGGAAAAACATCAATTAATTGTCGATCTAGTATCCAATTCAACACCTTCATAGGAGACAGTGAGTTGTATTTTGAATAATCCAGTGCATTGTTCTAATTCACAAACAAAACTATCCTGTAAATCTTTCAAGAGATTTTCACTGAATTTAGAGCTTTCATTTGCATTTCATCTCTCTGTTTATGATCAGTAAGTTGCATATAAATCCAAATAAGTCAATGATGTGAGTATAAGCTTCACTTCCCTTTTTTAATTCTACTATTAACTTATCAATTATTAAATAAATTTTCTAATTACTTCAGAAGGGAAACAGTAAACAAAAATTCATTCGATTATTTTTTGACATACATAAATGGATGGCTTATAACGGTGCCTCACTGGAAAGTGGGGCCCGGGGCTATAGCCCCCTCCCCCTAGCCATCCCTTGATCCGGGCCTGCCGGAACCAATACAAGAGAATACTTTCTTCGTCGTAACAGTTAAGGGGAGTTCTCTTAACGCCGGGCGGCACCTAATACCGGACATTAGCTATATCTGTGACAATTGAAATTCTAGCGAGCCATTATCCCACGTAAGTGGTAGCGGGGATAGAAAAAACCATCGCGTGTGCACAGCTAAGGAAATCGATTCATTTTTGACTGTTTGACTGAAATCCGGTGCATCGTATAAATTATAAAGTGTTATATTTACCACTTTCAGTGGCC